CATGGCCCTGTGACCTTCAGCAGCCCTGTAGTCTGCAGCTGTCACCTCCTTCTCTGCCACAGCCGCCCAGAGGGAACACCCCCAGCAGGTATGGGCAGAAGTCAGGCTAAGGTGGGGACGTGCTTCTTGCTGCAGAGTGCATGCCTGGAGATACAAGTAGGCCTCGGGCAGCGGTGGGGCAGCATTCAGGAGAGTGTCAGGATTCCAGTCACTCTGACAGAGGGCCCAACCCTGGGGGGGTCACCTCTGTGCCCGTCCCCCCAGGGGCCTATTTAAGCTGAGAAGTGAGAAAGGCCTGATTCAGGCAGCCAGGAGGCGGGGCATGGACTCAGGGCAAAGACCCCAGGGCCTCTCTGCCCATTAGGGCTCCCCTTTGTACAAGCACACCTGCTCCTAGTGTCCCTGCGACTCAGAGCCGCTGCGCCCTGGGTCCCACTCGATCCCTGTGGAAACACTTGACACCTTTGCTCATCTGTCGTCAGGCACCGGACTGCATGTTTCCTCTCATTCCGTCTTCACAGGTGAAGGCACTAAAGCTAACGAGGTGCAGTAACTTGCCCACCTGGTCCAACTTGTAAGACACAGGGCTAGGCCTGGAGCTCAGGTCTGGCTGGCTCCAGCCCACACAGCACTGCCCAGCCTCAGGTCCTGCAGCTGTGGGCACTCTGCCTCTGCCCGGCCTGGAGATCATCAAGCTCAATGACCTGCTTTATGTATGAGGGGCCCGGAGGCCCGGAAGGGGAAGAGATGTGTTTACCCATGGACACCAAACAGCGGGCCTGCACACCCCAGCTCCCTGACTCCTGGCCCAAGGATGCCCCTGCCCTACTTGTGCCCTGGATTCACGGACAACCTGCCCAACCTTGACCTGAGGTCATGCCTTGACGTTGGATTCTCCTAGGCCGAGACTCGTAGCTCCACCGAGTCGTGGCTGCACAAAGGAAGCCCTGAGCAAAGGGACAGATCTGAGGAGGAGGTCAGGACCGCTTTCTGTCCGCAGGCATGAGGAGGGCTGTCTGCTCTAAAAATAGACTCCCTTCCATTGTGAGGCAATGAGTTTGACTGTTGACAGGGTTTGACTGAGTCAGGACCCTCTCTCCCTGTGGGTCCCACTTGGCCAGTTAACGGGGAGGTGAGGAGACACCCTCCACCCCACCCCCCAGCCCCCGTCAAGC